GCTGCTGAAGTGGTGCATGCGAACTTAACCACTATGCCACCAGGCCAGTCCCTAAATTTGTGTTTTTAAAATGAGTTAGAAGTGTACACTAAATTAAATCCCATTGAATTTTGTTAAGTATCTGCAAGATACTAGAGAGTTCTTTCACTAAACTCTACCCACTTTGCCGTGGAGAAGCTTTACCCATGGAAAACCATGAACTTAGGTGGGTGAGTAAGTCTAATGGAGACAACAGAGTCATATTAAAATGATTTGTGGGATTTTTTTCTTCTACCTCTGCGCTCTCACATTTATATATGCCCCTCTTTTATACGTGCACGTGAATAAAGGTGTGCAAAATGTTAAAAGACAGATCATGCTGCTGAAGGCTTATACTTTTTGGCTTGAAGATTTAGGCAGAATACCACACACTCAAAATAAATAGATTTCTAACATTTAGCGGAAAATTAAAAGTTTTAAGCATAAACTCATGTTTCCCAACTAAATTTTTGCAGTATATGAAAACAATAATTTGAACATTCAAGTAGTTGATTTTCAGATTTGATTACCTACAATGCCAAAATATGTCAAGTGACTCCAGGTTTCCCATTTCAAATAGTTCCAAGTATCGTTAAATCGTTTGTAAAATACTTTTTAGATCCCCAAGTGGGTTAAGTTTATATTATTGTTCTACCATGAGGAATAATGGGTAATTATTATCTGTTTATTGCCCAAGAGGAGAAGTTAGTTCCCAGAAATAAAATCTTGGTTAAATTTTGCCCTAGACTACCTCAAACACAAATTACCCACCACAGGTTAAGACTTGGCTCTGTATATAAGAAAATTTCCTGTTTGAAATTTTAATACGATACAACATATGGGAAAAGTAGAGCTCTTGGAATAACTTGGTAAAATAGTTTAGAAAATGAAATGGTGTAAAATGTGTAACCACAGTATGCAAGTAATGTTTCCTCTAATAATCATTAAATCTGCAGTTATAACCAGACTTTGTGTAGCACTATTCTTGTTATTCTTGTATCGCTTTACACAAATGGCTTTCTGCACCAAAATGGACCAGATTTACTCACACCTTGCCCCTTGTTTTGAAAAAGTCTAAGGAAAATGTGCACAAATATTAATTTATTTGAAATTGAAATACACATGCTTATGCTATTTTAAGAGAAGCTTAATGGTTGCAACATTTCTTTTCTCAGAAACTTGGTGGAAATATTTCTTGTGCGTGCAACGAAGCCAGTAACAAAATATTAGTAAATGGAAAAATTATACTCATTCAAAATCCATTAACTATCTTACAGCTCTATAGAATTGTATAAATATTTAAGACATGTTCAACAAGGAAATAGTCGAATAAAACATGTTTTGATACCAAAAACATGTTCCATTAATTTTTATTGTTTCTCTTCCTCTTTTTTAATATAGCATGTGCAAAATGGAGAAGGAAATTGAAGGTGGAAATTATGGTCCCATATTTTTATATATGAAATTTATTTCTATAAAGGTGTTCACATGGGTGATCCAGAATTTAAGCAATTATTCTTACCCTAGAATGATAGTGGTAAACTCAGAGACCCATTCTTTTCCATCCTCCATCGTCAGGTAACATCTACATTCCAGGGAGGAAAATGTTGACATGCCTATTTCTATCTTCCAGTGAGTTATTTGAGCTCCAGATTCCTGGAGTATTGACTATAGATACAATATACGAATTTAAAGTCAGATAGAAAAGAGTTCAACCGCAAGATCTCCCATCCTCATCTCTGCTATTATGGATGAGTTTCCTCATCCATAGAACTGAGAATCAAAATAACACCTGCCTTAGAAGCTGATGTGAGACATTCCTGTACGGCAACGAATACAAGATCTGGCACATAGTAAATGCTGAATCAAGTTTATTACTATTTTACCACATGAGGAAAGACAACTTTAAAACATGATGATAGAAGCTACCTTTACTGAATACTTACTAGTATGCCAGGTACCGTGTGAGTACTTTACACATATTACCTAATTTAACCCTTATGATATTGTTAACCCATTTTACAGAGAAGACAATGAAAGGGGAGCATCCTCTGGTCCCAAGCATTCCAAGAATCTTGTCATTTTGTAGCTCATTTGAACTACTCCTGGTTTAAAGAGAAGATTAACATAAAAGAACATATCCTATATCTACATGAAAAATAATAATTTGGTGAAAATTCCCTAAGTTTGGCAGATATTACCACATTAGACACAGTTTTTTTTTAATATTTCCTTGAATTAAGATACTACTAGATGGAATTCTATAAATCAGGATACTGATTACCTTTTTAAAGGTCTATTTCACTCTGTTTATTTTAACAGATTTGGAGTCTGACATTTTGTTCTACTTCTGGCTGATATACATAATATCTTCTGTAGTTCGATTTCATAGATAAATTTGGGTTTTGTTTCTTTTAACTTCATTCTTTGATAATAAGAACAGTGAAATTTTCAAATGCCCAGAAACAAATCTAAATATTTCAAAAATAAATATGTAAAATATGTATACACAAAATAAACATTTAAAATCAAATCAATGCCAAAGTTTAAACTCTAATTTGAATATGAACCCAATCTCATTTGTGTGTAAGCGTACGTATGTGTGTATAAGGCATAAAGTATGTTTGACTCGAAAAGTGTATGGTACAAGCAAATATTAAATACTTGTCCTCATCATACTATATATAGAATATATACTAATATATTAACTCTCAGGTATTTATTCCAAAGAAAGGAAATATTTGAGGAAATGGTGCAATTCACAGGACTTTTTGAAAACGAGAAATCATTACAGTTAGTGAGTGAATTAGGATTATAACTCAGCAGTAGAATGCAATAGCTAAATTCAAAATGTTTGCGCGGATAATCCTCAACCTTCTTAATTTATGAGCAGAGCTATAAGCATTGGCCGAGTCTCTAAAAGGGAGGGCTCAACATTAAGAGAAAGAAAAAATCTGACTTTCAGGATTAATAGCAACCAGAAAGAAAATTTTAAAATGCAGACAAAAATATGATGATATTGATAATACTATATAAACAGATAAGTGGCTATTGTTAAAATTCTTTTCTTTAAAGGGGAAAACTGAAATTTGCGGTACTTTTATTACTCCATTAGTGTCATTACAAAAAGTCATTTTAACAAAATGTGTAAGTAAAAATCTTCTAAAATATTTCCTGATAAATGTTTTTCGTTCCTAAAAAACAAATCAGATAGATTATATAACAATATTATTCTCTTAAACTTTAAATTATCAGGACTTTATAGTTAAGACTTACATATGTCCCTTTAGTTTCATATACAAATATATGTATACAAAACAATATATATATGTTTATATGAAACTAAAAGGGTCTTGCAAGATATGTATGCATATATCTTGCAATATTTCACGTATATATACATACACACATACATATATACATATACTTATATTTCTACCGTTTTCTTAATGCCAGCAGGGATAAAGATTCTACATTAACCAAGGATTACCCTTGGTTCTTTCAATTTTAATGGATGAGTCTTAAAAGATTTATAAAATACCCAGACTTGTGTGTAATATTTTGCACCTTTCTGATGAGTGCATCTACAACTTTCCCAAAGGGTAAGAATAACTATTCGGGATAGAAGAAAGCCACAATTGAGTGGTGGTGGAACAGTGGGTGCACGCACCAGGGTATGGTATCTGGTTTTAAATCTCACTTTTCCCACATGGCTGTGTCGTAGTCTTTAAGTTTCTTAGTATCTCTGAGCCTCAATTTCCTAATCTATAACATAAAGATAATAGCAGGACCTATTTCAGCGGGGCCCTCACAACGTGTCCACATGATCAGGTATTTTTGTAAAATTTGCAAAATTGTGTATTTTTTTAGTAGATACATCTCCCAAATTGTGTAACTTCATGCCCCACCAAAATTGGATCCTTCTCTTTTTCACCTCAGGGATCATATTGAGGGTGAAATTAGATAGTACATGTAGAGCTTTAGGATTACGCCTAGAACACGGAAAACACTTAGTTAATGTTCATTATCATTATTATTATCAACTCCCATAGGCAATTTGCTTGCGTTTATTTTTCCTATGGCTACATATGATAGAGTATTTCGTATCTTACATGGTATGGGTTAGGAGTGTTTAAGCAAGAGCTTAGTATATTAACAGAGTTTTCTACTCAACAAATTTGGAAAGAGAAATAGTGTGAAATATATTCATTCAAATGTTAGCCTTATTGGTACAAGCTTAAGAAGGGGTAGCTTTTAGAATTTAATCAAGATCATATTTGCATTTTGACAAAAAAAAAAAAAATCCAATACCCTTATTCACAGAACACTGTGATACTATGCAGTGTAAATGTGCCTACGTGAGATTTCAGACACTGATAAGTGGCTGTTGCAAGTTAGGATGAGTAAATGGTTGAACTCACCATAATTGCAGAAATCTTATCATATCTATACAGAATTATTCAAATATTCAGGGATTTAACAATGTATACAAAGATGGCCGTGCCAATTTCTGAGTCACAGTTTCAAAATTTGGGACATATGATACACCTATTTCACATTCATAATGTAAATCATTTTCTTATGATATCTACTTTACTATGCATAATACAAATGCTATCATACCTTTTTTCACATACCTAGAAGCTACAGATATAAGCTATTTCTATAAATTATGGTTAATCACAGAAAGAATCACAATAAATATTATTGACCTGTAATTAAGCTCCACCTTTTGAGTTTCCTATTATTTTATTCAAACAAAAGAGATATATACATGCATTAGTTATGAATAAAATTCACCAGGAAAATATGGCTTGTATTTCAAATAATAGGAGTTTGAATATTACCCTCACTGAATCAACCAGTCAATATAGGAATTTATTTCCTGCTTCAAGACAAAACAAATTTAAGATAAGAACACTCGATTTGTCTCTAGCAACAGCTGAAATCATGAAGCAATATTGACCTATACACACATAGAATTGCCTATTGAATCACTTTTAAAGGGAGTAATGTATATTTTTTAATGTAATTTAAAATCCTGTTCAGAGAAAAACGCGAAGTATGTTTGTCTTGTCTTTTCTGAGTCAATCATGAAATCGTCTAATGAAGTAGCTGAGCAACAGTAAGAACGAGAAAATTGTTCTGCTCTACTCCATAGGGATAGAAAGGTAAGTTCTTTCCAGACAGTGAGTCGAATGACCAAAATCACAGTGCCATTTCCTGCTTCGTGCTGTGTCCATTTAGTAAAACAGAATTGGCCACCACGTTCTTAGCATTGCTCTTCAGAGACGTCATCCGCAGGGCTGAGGAGCTGACGAGGCAGCTGGCTGACCTCTGTGGACGGGACCTCCTCCTGCAACAGAGCTGGCTGTTGAAATGCCTCCTGAAGCTTTCACTGAGCAGATAAAGAGCAAATGGATTGACGCAAGAATTGCAAAAGCTCAGAACCCGGGCAACCAAGGTGACAATCATGTGGCCTAGAGATGGGTCGATCTCGTGATAGTTGAAAGACCTATACAGGTAGAGGACGTGGTTTGGAAACCAACAGAAGACGAAGCAGCCCACGAAGACGAGCACGATTTTAGCCAGGCCTTTCCGTGTTTCCATCTGCAGATACAAGGAAATGGCCCCATTGGTAAAAATGAGTATAGAGCCAGCCACACCCGAAACACGACGGTACGAAAGGAGGAAAACTTATCATAGCATGCAAATACGTCCAAAAATACAAAAGCTATTTTCCTCAACAAAGTGATGATTTTAACAGTTTGAAGAAGCCTATGTTGGTCACTATACTTTTTTCATTTAAAAATATTTGACAGCTTGCACAATACTAGATGACATATTATTAATACATGGCTATGTCTTCACGTTAAAACCATGATCTTAAAAAATTCTCTCTTACTTTTAACTATTTTCCTTTTGCTCCAAGTCTTATTGTGTTCATTATAAATATAAATCATTTCTGTTTGTAGTAAATCCACTGAATTAATGAACCATAGAATATGTTCAAGCCTAGATTTTTTTTTTTTTAAATCAGGGTATTTTAAATAGGAAAAATCAATCTATTGAAATAGGGCATGACTTTTTTAACCCTTACTCCACACACACACCTTGAGATTTAAACTCCTGATTCACATAAATCAAATACATCTGACATAACTGTCAATCCTATAAACATTACTATGTTAGGTTACCTTTAAAAATAAAAATATGTTTTTTTTCTTTTCATAAACTTTACATACTATGTTTACTGTTTTAAAGGAAAGTCTTCAGGAATGTGATAGACAAAATTCAAATACTGGTTGGTAATCTTTTTTAATCCAAAAATCATTTTCTGACATCTAGAATCCAAAATTTAGCTCATAGTTGCTAATTTGTTTAAATATTTCAATAAGGCAACATGAATGTGAAAACATAATTTATCAAAAGATATTGAGGGAAGGCAACGTGATATTTTCTGAGCTAAAGCTCTTAATAGTCAACTAGAATATGCCAAAGAAGACTGGAAAGGTTTAAGATTGAAACAGATCTGGCATTGGGGAGTAGTGGTGAGTGGTGACAGCAAACAAAGCTGCAAGTGAAGAGGAATCTAGTTCAGGAAGCAGAATGTGGTTCTCAGATGTATCCCAGTGGCATAAGTTAGGCAACCTGGCTATATTAAGGAGGTAGATGTGAAATTTATATTACTGAGCAGTGTCCACCCTAGCAGGTGGAGCATGGGTGCAAGAATTTCATGGCACTCTATACTTGGAGATTCAAATGCACACACAGGCTGTTGACATTGAAATTACTTCTCAGCAGATGTCAAGCCTAGTTGCCCAGCCAGAGTTTGTAAGTCCCAACAGGGAAACTCACAAAAACAAGGCGGAATAAGGGCCATTTGAAAAAAAAAAAAAGTGGAGGTGTGGAGGGTAAGAGGAACTCAATGCTTGAAAACAAAGCAAAAACTCAAATACCCAAATTGAGATACAAATTGGATCACAAGGCTCTGAATAAAAGGATTGTATATAAAGGAAAAAGCACAGTGAGCCTATGACCTGGACATTTTTGCTTCAATGATGACAGATATTTAGATAATAAATCCATTAATTTGTTTAACAAGTACTTTAAAGATTGGTTGATTTTTCAAGCCTTTAAAGCAGATGTGGATCTCTGATGATGATGGTCATCAGTAAATAGAGGTGATCTACACAAGAAAGCTTCGCCAGACTGTGCTGTTGCTAATGTGCACAAAGCCCCGCCTGTGCCTCTGCCTATAGCCTAGCAAACTTTAATGATTTGTGATTCAACTTGTTTTCATTCAAATTGGGGAACAGGCACCCATAACTTCCCTGTACCTACAGAATGCTTTGGAGGAAGTTCCTCACTAGGAGTGCACAAAGGGACAACTTGACACTCTGTCCCATAGATACAATATTTCCATCTCTTTGTGGATTAACACAATTGGTTTTACCTTAAACTAATACTGTATGTTCTTTAAGGAAGCAAGAGTATGCAAGGTGCATGTTGTCATTTTTGCATGAGTAGATAATCTTTATAGGAAAAGCTATAAAGTTGAATCAGACCAAGCAAGACTTCAGCACCGGCCTGCGTTTGCTCACTTTCACACTTGTCATGCTGTCCTCTGTTCCCAGAGCCTCCCATTCTGGCACCCTACCCAAACCTCATCCCCAGATCCCAGGCAGTGAACCACAGCCCTTTCCTGATGCATCCTTCTCCCAGACTTCCCGTCATCCTTAGTGGGCTAATGGGAGAAGAGACAATAATGAAATAAATTTATAATTAAACTGTGAAAAAGTTCTGGTTTATTATGTGATTCTTTGCATAAACATTTGCATGTAAAGAAAAGCCTTCAAAGATATTAAATTCTAATAGCCCCAGGCCCAGATGGCAGATAAGCTGGACCTTGGTGGGCCTTCACAGAGCCATGACATGGCCACGTATCAAAGACACCCCTTCCAGTTCAGGCTAGTGCATGTCCCAGTGCCCTCTGACTCTGTTCTGACCATTCCTGGTATTGAGAACCCATGAAACAAAACACAAAATAGTACTTACTACATCTGTCCAACACAGTCCAACACACACACCTACCAAGCTTACCTGTTTTTTGGTATGTTCATTGTATTCTCCAGGAAGATTATGTGCACTTTTAATTAAGGTCTTTGCAATATGATAATAATAAACACTAATAAGAGTAAGTGGTATCAGGAAATAGACCAAGAAGATGAGCACTGAATGAATCTTTGGATGTAGCTCATCTGTCTGAGGGTAGGGTATACACGCTGTGAAGCTGCCGTTTTCCAAGCTGCCAATGTGCACCACTTCAGAAAATATGGCTTCAGGAACCGCCAACAGCACAGAGATTACCCAGATAGCCACCGCCTTCACACAGGTCCACAGCACCGCCCCTGATGTCTGGATGTCCATGGGGTTTACGATGGCTCTGTACCTGGGAAGACAATACATCTCAAGTTACTCTCTTAAGAAAGAAAATAAAAGTAAGGAAAAGAGAGAGAAGGGGAGGGAAGGAGAGGAGGGAGAGAGGAAGAAAGGAAGGGAGAGAGGGAGGGAGGGAGGGAACGATCTTACTTGTGTCAAAATTAACTATGGTGGAGCCATTTTAAAATGGAGTCAGAGCTGCCTTTCCAGAGAAAATGCTTCGCCGTCTTGAACCTTGGACCGGACCAAACCTTTGGACTGGACCAAAACAGCAATTGTTTTACAAGCAATTGTTTGAGAAGTCAGCAGGAGAACTGACATCCTGATCACAAAGACTGAGGACTGTGGACTTTCTGAAGATAGAATCAACAATCAATGTTTAGCAAAGACTGGCCGTCTGCCTCCAACTCCAATTAAAATTCTTTGTAATACAACCTCCTTTCTTTGCTTTTAAAAGCCCCTGACTTTTATTCCCTAGAGGAATACGTTTTTGGGTTTCTACTTGAATCTATGTCTCCTGAATGGCACTTCTAATTGCCCAAATAAATATCTGCTGTTTAAATCGTAGTGATTTTTCCTCAGTCGACACTTGCCAAGAGAGTGTTGCCAACACTCCATTATTCTCTGACTGTTTTGTAAAGTTTGGAATATCCAATATCCCTGGTGCCTGTCTGTCTACAAGTCATTCCACTGTTTGTTAGCACAGAAGACAGGAAGACAGAGGAAAATATTTTAAATTGCCATTTCCCAAAGTGCAGTAATTTGCTTACCTCTTTCACAAGCTTTTTCTAAATCTACACATACTACAAGAGAAACTAGGAAAATAATCCCATTTACAATTACAACAAAAAGAATAAAATACCTAGGAATAAATTTAACCAAGAAAGTCAAAGAACTGTATGCTAAAAACTAGAAGACACTGATCAAAGAAATTGAAGACAACACAAATAAATGGAAAAATATATCATGCTCATAGATTGGAAGAATTAACACGGTTAAAATGTCCATAATACCCAAAGTAATCTACAGATTCAGTGCAATCCCTATTAAAATACCAATGTATTTTTCACAGAACTAGAACAAAGAATCCTACACTTTGTATGGAACCACAAAAGATCCTGAATATTCAAAGCAATCTTGAGAAAGAGGAACAAAGCTGGAGGTATCACACTCCCTAATTTCAAACTATACTACAAAGCTATAGTAATTAAAATACTCCCTAAAAGTAAAGAAGAAAAGCTCCCTGAACCTAGTGTCTTGCTTACTGTTGCATCTAAAGTATAGGACACAATGCCTGACTCGTAGCAGGTTCTCAATAAATGTTTGTTGAACTAATAAGGAAATGTGGTCTGAGCAACAAATAGATCACTTAGTTAGTTAGTTAGTTAGTTAGTTAGTTAGTTATTTTTTGGCTGAGGGAGATTCACCCTAAGCAAACATCCACTGCCAATCTTCCTCTTTTTTATGTGAGCCACTGCCACAGCATGGCTACTGACAGACAATGGTGTACGTCCACGCCTGGGAACTGAACCCCGGCCACCAAAGCAGAGCACGTGGAACTTAACCACTAGGTCACTGGGGCTGGCCCTATGTCACTTATTTAGAGCAGATTTAATAGAGTGGGATGGTAGCTGGATGGTAGATTGCGGGAAGAATGGAGGTAAGAGATGGAGACAGAGTCTAATCTACTGATGCTCAAGATGGATCAGTATTCAGAATCACCTGGAGAACTGAAAAAAGGTAGAGTATTAGGTTTCTCCCCAGACTTACTGGTGTAGAGTCTCTAGGATGTAAAATGTGAGAGATTCTGCATTTTACTAAGATTTTTCAAGTGGCTCTGAATAAAAGCCAGGTTTAGAAACTACCTTACAAGAAGATTGAATATGGCGGTGAGCATCTTTCCACAAGCATCCTTGTGGAAGCTTGTCCAGCGCAGTGGACACCATTCAGCAGTGGAGAGGATCTGGTATCCAAAGGTTCAGTGTTTGAAGAATCAGATGCCTGACCTTTGCCATATGGCACATCATGTTTCAACAGTATTGATATGTTATAGCAGTAAATCTTATTCTGAATAAAATTATTAAATCTATCATTTAAAAATATCTATGCATTATTATACAATAGAATGCCTAAAACTATAAATAACCTTTTTAAAAATAATGTAGTAAGTGGGGTGTCACTTTGGAAAGGATGAGAAATACTGGATTCGATTACAGAGGGCTCAGCAATCCTATTTGTTCTTTACTCCCCCAAAAATCACTTTGTTCTTAATCCATTGAGGTGTATTACTTAAATGACACATGAAAGTTTCACGAGAAGGAGAATGACAATGACAAGCCGTGTTGATGAAGGCAACAGGTAGGAACTAGCCAGTCTATGGTTAAAGGAATTGTTGGAAAGGCTGTAAAAGGATTAATTTTGCAATAGGCTAATTTTGCTTTCCACTTCAATGCCTATTTTCTGATAATTAAATGCATATGTGACTAAATATTGACTTGAATTAATGAGTCATTTGTCATTCTGACACATAGGTGATATAAAAAAAGTAGTTCCACAGCAACCCACAGTTTGAAAATGCTTTCACATTAATTGTTTCATTTGATAAAATAATCCTGAGCAATAAAACTTATTAGTGTCCCTGTTTTACAGAAAAGCTCATTGACACTAAGGGATTAAATGATGTTCAAATGATCGCAGAGCCAGTAAGCCGATCGATGACTCAGGATTCACACACACATCTTGTAACTACAAATTCTGTATTTTTTCAACTGTAGCACATTGCAGAGAATGCAACTGAAGAAATAAATGTCTTATCTGTTCTATCCATTTTTAGACATTTGATCTCCCGGTCCTTTTAAAGTCAATGGTATTTTGGGGGCCGGCCCCATGGCTTAGTTGTTGAGTGCGCGCGCTCGGCTGCTGGCGGCCTGGGTTCGGATCCCAGGCGTACACCGAGGCACCACTTCTCCGGCCATGCTGAGGCCGCGTCCCACATCCAGCAACTGGAGGGATGTGCAGCTATGACATACAACTATCTACTGGGGCTTTGGGGGAAAAAATAAATAAATAAAATTATTAAAGTCAATGGTATTTTTAACTGGAAAGACAACTTATATCTGTAATTATATTTTTTCAACTTAATTCTCATTTTTACAGTGAAGAAACTAAACCTCAACAGTACTATCAAGTAACATTTCATATTCTTTTAAGTCATCTCTAAAAACTGCATTTTCATATAATCGATATAAATATCTATGATCATTTCTAGGTTGTGCTTTCATAATCTAAAACTGGTTCCTAATGAGATGGTTAATGTTTAGTTCTGTCTTAAAATTTGGTTCTTTGCCAAAAATTAATTTTAATTAAACCACAATCATTAAAATTTTAATTTTCAAAATAATCCCCCCAAATTTCCACAAATAATAAAAGAAAGGAAACAACAAGGTCTACATCAGACACTGAAAAAAATATTCCTAATGAAAATCTGCATAATAAAAAAATCAAAACATAATGACAAATAGATGAGTCAAGGGAAGTGCTAGGAAGAAGTGAAAGTTTCGTGTTTATTCCTACTCCTCATGAAGACCTACAAATAACTGGAAATAGAAAATACTGCCCAGAACCTCAATAAATCAGTAGTGTTCATGGAAAGTAGCCTGCGGACCTAATAACAGCTAATATTTTATATCAATAATTAAAACAATAAGTTAAGAAACAGTTCATTAAGTTTGAAGCTAGCACTATGAAGTTGGGTCATCATTTTGGAGCATGGATTGAAACTGAAAATAACTTTGGTCATATGGAAATAAATAAGAATAAAGGAACAAAAAGCAAAGTGATTTTTAAAAAAGGAAATTTAATGAAGACATGTCCTTTCCTATAGAAAATAAACAAGTGAACTTTTTAAATACCAGGTCATCAGTATATTTGAGATGTGGGTGAGGTTCTCCAAAGAGCTGAAAAAAAATCTACAGGTTATATAAAATATTATCTAAAACGTACACATTGACTCAAAAGTAAAAATAATAGTGAACGTAAATATACAAATATAGCATATAACTATTTATCTTGTACAAAATATTGGATCAACTTTTCCAGAAGAGAATCATCTACACCTCATATCAGCATCAATTTTTCCAGAAATTCAATAAATAAACAATTAAATAAGGACTAACTAAAAAAATTTTAGTAAGAACTTATGGCGAATGAGAAAATTAAAATGCAATTAAAATTATTAAAGACCTTGGAAAGAGGTCAACCCTCCTGAGGAGACAGCTATTGGAAGGGCAAATGTAAATTGTTATTTTAGTTTTTGAAACACACAAATAGGAACTGTACTACTGGTGACAACTAACAACGAGAAAAGTGTTGAACTTCACTGTCTGACCTCATGGCTCAGCCAGAACAGATGGCCCCCTATTTAAATGCATCACTACAGGCAAAAGACTGAGAGAGAGGTACACCTTAGAGGGTCTTTCTTTCCACCAAGAAGTGGACAAAATAGAACCAGCATAAATTATTAGATGAGATATTTGTCTGAGATGTGGTGACGTGGAACAGTGTGACAAGCAGAGCACTAGAGCACTGAACTGAGTATCTGGTTGCTTCATGAGTTACTCATGTCCTTTTCTTCTTTGGGTCTCTCTCTGCTCAATATTCAGAGAGGGAGCTAATAGGATCCGATCCATGGTTGGATAGATACAGCTCTACAGCTGAAGATGTTATTCTTATTTTGCAAATGAGGAAAATACTGCCTTATGGCCATGTGTTTTATACTGTTTTATCATTTTCTCCAACTAGAACATTCGGACATAACATATGTAGGACTAGTACCCAGATGCCATGAACCCCTGCCTGGTACATTCCCTCCTTATTTATAGTGTCCCAAAGTTTCAGATCAAGGTAGATGAATCATCTTCAAAAGTAATAAATAATATTAAAGTAATAAAGTAATATATAAATTATGGCATTAGTATGAATATTGTGAGAATTATACAGCACCTCTCTAATTCAATGTTTGAGATTCCTTCTAAAGAGAAAGGAAAGAGAAATAAGCTAGAATTATTTCAGACTAATGAGTAGAAGATATCTGATTTACTGGAGTCAAATACAACAGCCTTTAACAAAAAACCATATAAATTCAAATTAAACTAATAAATTAAGTGCAAGTTACAATTTGTTCTGTTTCTATGGCTATATAAAAATAACAACTGAGCACTTGTCATGGAAGACAAATTTTCCTTTTTGTACTGACAGCTAGAAAGCTCTCAAACGTATACCTCACATTTTGTGAAAGTATGTGTTGCCTTATATTCTTCAACTTTTATTTTCCCTAAACCTGGTTTTCCTCCTTTTTTTGTTCCTTTTGTATGTTGTTTGGATCTCTATTTTTAAGCTTCCTTAAATTCTTTTGGAACAAGTTAGAAATAGATGTCATCTCCCTGGCGACATGGGTTACCATGTTGAGAGTGAGTGTGGACTATTCTCTTAAATATGTACGGCCAGGCTGACCTCTCCAGAAGAGTTTAGAAGCACACCAATCTCAGCACCCACTGAGAGCTAAGGTCTTCTCAGCGTACTGTCCAGGGCTATGGACAAAAGAAGAGAGTCTGTCTAGTGAGGGCCAGCCGGTTAACCAGTACCCGAGCCTCAGTCAGAAGTTTTGCCGAAAAACCAGCAAACAGATAATGGCATTCCCTCCCACCCCTGGACAGAGACTGATGAAAAAGCTTCATGAGGACCAGGGAGTTTTAGACTTTCAATGTGTTTCAATATTTCCACAAATAATTATGCTGAAGAGAATATCTGTTTGCATTGGTATAATACCCAAATAATGTTAAAGATTCAAGGCTCATGCCTAAGAGAACTAGCTCAGTTATGGAATTAAATCTGACTATCCTAACTAGCAAAAGAAAGTTTGAAATTACTAATACATTAGTCAGATTTGGTGCAATATTATTTTTGCCTTCAATCAAACATTGGAGATTTAGTATCAGAAAACAACATAACCTGAGACACTAAATTAATATTAATTTCATTTTTATTGTTCTATAGATTCTTAAAATTTAATTTATAAATGCATTTTAGATAGTTATGATAGAAAACAGAATAAGGAATTGATACCTAGTTTTATATTTGTAAATACGTAAAATTATAAAGTTTATAGTTTTGCACTAGGAATCTGTGGAAATTTTTTCCTGTAAAGGAAAAAGGAGAACTCCATTCCTAAAAGTTATTTGCATTTTAATTATGGACTTTGAGAGACCAGAAGATCTTCAAGAGTCAAAGAAATAGTATTCTAAGCTTGGAAATGCAGCTACTGGCATAGACAGTGAGGGAGATATCTATAAAGACAACCGTAAGCAAATTATGGCTTGTGGGGCTCCCCTTACCCAGTGTCACAGCACACGTGCCCCAACAGTGGGGAGTGGGAATGTGTATGTGTGTAAAACTGTTAGAAAGAGAATATGCAAATACCTGTAAACAGCTATTTAATGTGAGAAAGCAAAAAGAAGTACATTTTCAAAATGATAACAAAAAAACCCATCAAGATAAAGGTGAAATTAACCTGAGAGCCCCCCGTCCCCACTTCAGATCACGCACTGTCTCTTCTCCACCCACTCTGGTTATGAGACACCTCTGAGGCACTTCTACAGTGGACACAAATGATTTTCCCTAAGGATGCATCAGCTGAAACTCCTCAAAAGAGTTTGGAAAGTCAAGGATTAATAATCACAAGTACCAAAAATCATCACCCATACCACTCTTTGGCCATAGCAAACGAGGCGATTTAGACCTCAAGACAGATTCATAAGTACTGTGTTTCTTATTTCAGTCTCTGCTATCCAGTGATGCTGTCATTGATGATACATAACATTGTCTCCACTTCACATTGGGATATGCATTCCAAAATCTAATTATCTTCCTGTTGTTTTTCTACGTTACTATGGTCTCTATTTCTAAATTCTCTACCTTTACTTTCTTAGGCAAAGACGTTTAGGCCATGTCATGGAAATAGGATATTTGGCTTAACAGACAATTGAACGTACTGTTTAAAAACTATAACAGAGGTTTTTCCCCTATTGCTACAACTACTACTTAATTTTGAGTTCAAGTGTTTCTTTTATTTTGCAGTTACGTTTTACGACCTTCTTTCATTCTATTAAATCTAATGAATCAGATTTTGTGATCATTTTTCTTTTTTTACTCTCCAGCGCTTTGTTTTAAACATCACTTTTCAGTCTGCCATTAAATAGGGCAAACCATTAGTCATTTCTTATACTTGGGAAAGTAATGATGTGGCTTAATGGTGAAGAGGGCAGGCTTTGAACTGGGTTCAAATGCTGGCTCCATCCTGTGAGATCAGCAAAATGTTGCTTAATTTCAAGCCTTAGTTTTCTTGACTTTAAAAGGGTAATAATAATAGTGTCTTCTTCACAGTGTTGTGAGGATAATAAGCTCACACAAAAAAGTTAACACAGCACTAAGTGCAATTAGTCTCATACTTGTTTCCTAATCCGCTTGGTGTGATAAAGTGTAAGAAGATCAAGGACTAATCAACGCTTGATTACTATGTTCTGGAAGAAAAACAGAAGCATAGACAATATACAACAAAACATCTCCAACCATTTTAGGTGAATATTAGAATGTATTGTGTAATTTTATCACCAGTGATTCCATTTCCTTAATTCACATTTCCCAAACACACACTGATAGGCAAGTGCAGCTTCTGGGCCAGGTAGGAGGGGCAACCCACCTTTCTTTTTCATTGTTGTTAAAGTATCCATGCTGTATTTACAAAGTACATGATGCACTTCATAAACCAAAAAAGTCAGTAAATATATGAGAAATAGCATCCTCTCTGACCTCAGCCAGAGCCAATTTACCTGTGTGTCTCCGTGACAATAGATTGAGCAAAGTAATGTGAAATAAATTCAAGCCCTGGGACTTGCCACTAATATTACCTTTTAAAAGTGGAAGCACAATGACAGCAATTTTCACTATTGTAGTGGTAGCTATTCATTAAGTTTTATTCTAATCATTAAGTAGAATTTTTAACTTTCTAATTAAAATGTGCCCCATAAAGAAGAGCAGCTAAAAAGTCACATTTTAATTATGGAATTAAAAAAAAAAACTTTTAAAAAGATGATAGAAATGGTGTCATAGAAATAAAATGAGGTACATAATTTACCCAAAAGCACCCATTTTTATAGGTATGTGGCTTTGAAGAGACTATCACACAAACTAGAAAGTCAATAATATTTGGATTAAAAAGACAATGGCTCTCAACTTTCCACTGAGTATTGTCTTTCCTTCAATGCAGATTAACTCTTCAAAGACAAAGTGCCGTCAGGGTAGTATTGCAAATACCAGGAAATTTAAATGGACTCATTTTTCATTAATAACTTAATATGTAAATTAAAGCGGAGGAGAGTGAACACAACCTTAATCATCCAAGTTAATTTCTTTATCTAAATAGCTTAAGTCAACACCCCACCCCTAAGGGAATCAGACCAGGCTCTGTGCAATGATGCCTAATTGGATATTTTGCCCCCAGCCCTGTCCAGACATCCCTTCTGCTTAAATCCCCCAAACCATGATGACAGAGGGCCTGGGATAGTGGCACTGGGCCAAGTCAGCAGGTCTGGATTCTCCTCTCAGCTCAGCCAGGGGACTTACATTCCCTGGTCCTCAATATCTTCACCTGGAAAATGATGGTTGAACTAGTTGATCTGCAAGGTAAAGCAAAGGACACTCCCATCCTTAAAATACGTGAAAAGCAGATTTGCTATCAAAGGTGTATTTTTACAGCACTGTAAAGCACAGATACTAAAATTCGGTACCTACCTGTTTGTGAAAAAAAAAAAATCGACATATCACTTGACTTGAGGTATTAAAAAGAATGTGTAAAGTCATCTGTCTGAAGAAAATTTACTATTTTAGTTGTTTTTCCTTCAAATAAATAGCAGAATTTGGTGAACAAGTGTAAATGTTGTTTCCCTTATTTGGAAAAAAGTTCAAAATCAAACATTTCCCTAATATTAAGGCAGACATTCTTACCTATAAGTTTACTAAACTGCTGAATAAGGAAAGTGCACTTCTAAGGTTTTAGGCACACACAAAAAGCTTCTACAAGACAGTTGCACTTTTGCACGTTACTGTTATAGTTTTTCTGTGAAATAGATAACAAAGACTCCAGACGTGTGTGGAGGGGAGGGGCAAGACTAGGATATGCAATTTTAAAACTACTTTCAAACTAATGCAATTTTAATTATTTTAAAATTAATAATTCCCTTATTTTTTTCAAGCTTCTCGTCTTAGTCCGTTTTAACTCCTTTTACTCTAACTCCCAGATACACTCTCTCCCTCCCCCTCCCAGCCACCCCAGTCTCCCTCCTCTCCCCAGGTGCGCGCCAGCTCACCCTCCTCCCCGCCCCTCTCCGCCACGTTTCTAGGCCACCTCACCTCTACTTGTGCCCTTACCTGTCGGCGCTGAGGGCAGTGAGAGTGAACACGGACACCCCCACGGAGGTGAGCTGGATGACGGGGATCAGTTTGCAGCCCACGTCCCCGAACATCCACTCGTCAAAGCAGTAGCGCGAGGCGTCCACCGGGACGCAGGTGAGCAGCAGCAGCACGTCCCCAGCCGCCAGGTTAGAGATGAAGATGTTGGGGACGCTCCTCAAGGCGCTGTTGGTGATGAAGATCTTCACCAGCGTGATGTTGCCCAGCAAACCCACCGTGATGATGAGCAGGTAGAGGGAGGGGATCACACAGCGGATCACGAAGTCGGCGGTGGTCCCGTCGGGGGCGGGCAGGAAACCCCCTTCGGACACCCCGGGAAGGAAACGACTCTGATTCTCCCCCGCGGTCTGGGCGAGGCTGGAAAGAGACTTGGGGGGCATGATCTCCTTTCCAGGAGAGTCCGCTAGAGTTTTCACGCGCCCAGGTGCCCTGACAAGTGCAACGCACAGGACCTTGGGCTTAAGGGATTTCTCTCTCTCCGGGACAGGTTTACTGCCCGCGGGGACGCGTCACCCCGCCGCGTCCCGGGGAGGACAGGGTCGGGTGAGAAGTCCAGCTGTCCACACGCTCCAGTCCTTCGCTCCTAGAAGGGGCGCATTGGCTCCTGCTGGCTCCGAATTTAACAAAAAAAAAAAGGCAAAGCAGTTGCGTCTTTGTTCCAGTCTTCAGTGCTTTGTTCTTGCTTATAGCTAGCGGAGAACAGCCCTTTTGTGAGCATTTATCCCTCTGGGGTCAATAAAAGTAGCTGCCCAACCGTTCACTGGGAGCAGAGGAGGTCATCCTGCCGCTGTCCAGCGAACCGCAGCTGAAACACCGGGAACCAGCGTGGGGCGGCCGGCACTCTGCTCGTCCCACAGTTTTGCTCTTTGTTTCTGCGGTTCCTGTTGTACTGTGTGGAATTGGAGGGGATCTGAGTCCTCTCTCTTACACGGCGTCCCTATATACATCCATCCTTATCCGCCTCCGAGCGGGAGGAGCCCCAGACAAGTTTTGTGAACCTCTGAGGATTTGGTGGCTGAGCTGGCAAGTCCCTGATGCTGTATCACTGAATATAGGGAAGAGAACGAGTGGCAAAGGATGAAGTAAATGAATGGAACTCCTTCCACACTCTTCTTCCTTGATCCACTTTTCTCACCCCAAATATGGAAACTCTTTCCTACAGCTGGCATATTAGTTTTAAACTTATATTTTATTGAAATATAGCATGCATAAAGTACACAATTCTTAAACGTACAGCTCAATCTAACCACCATTCGGAACCTACAATCTAACCACTATTGCCTAAGGGAGCCACTATTCTCTCTGACTTTTATCATCCAAGATTACTTTCCCTGCTCTTGAGCATCATATAAATGTAATCATTCAGTACGTACTCTTGAATCCAACTCCTTTCACTCAACATTATGTCTATGAGATCCACCCAGATTTTGTGTGTAGCATTTTCCACTGCTGTTTAGTATTACATTGTATAAATATACCACTGTTTATTTATCCCTTCTAATGTTGATTGACATTTAGATTCTTTATAGTTTTAGATAATTTGAATGATGTTCCTATAAATATTCTTGTACATGTGTTCTGGTGCACATTTGAACAAATCCCAAATGTGGATTTGCTAGGTCACAGTGACCGAGCACATTCAGCTTTAACAGAAGTTAACAACTTTTTTTTTCTTTTGGAGACTTGCTTAACAATATTTATTAAGGCTAAAACTATGTATGCCTATGACTGAGTATTGCTATCCCTAAATATGTACTCAATATATACCCAATACACTATTCTAAGTAGTATGTCCCCAAGAACAAATAATTTCCCAAATTAACACCATCTGCGTCTAATATAAACTGCTCAGAAATGGCACAGTTAAGTTAGCCAAGTAACACTCTTTCCACTAGGAAAAACATTTGGCTAGATCTTGGCTATTAAAGGATAAAATTGTGTGATAACAAGGAAAGTAACAAGGACTACCTACAATGATGTAGCCAAAAGCTGATGAAATATGCCAAAACATTTGCAAAATTTAAGCAAATTTTTCAGATATTGTCAACCAAGAACAGCATTTAATTATCATAGTTGAATTAGACAAGGTAAACACTTGCATTTTAATCAATTTTATGTTTTCTAACTCAATTACAAGTCCTTATTATAGTCTTCTTGGATTTCATTACTTAAAATAATCTGTTATTAAGTTCAAGTTGACTAAAGAGAATGTTCATATACATACAGTTGAACGTATGTATATGAACATTCTATTTATATTTATATATCTTAGATATATATCAAAGCAATTAATATTACATATGAGTTGAGATATGTCTTTAGGAATTTTATCTTCAAAGTTAAGTTTCCTCTTTTAACATCCAACTGCATTATGCAAGGTAAATTAACTACTAAAGCAATCTTCTAAATTGTGAAATTTCTCAAACTTTCAAACTGCGACCACATCATTTTAATCTATTTTATATGAAAACATCTTGAAGTCTAAATTGCTGTATGAATATCTATATTTTCTTCTGATTATGTCTGTAAGATGCTAAGCATTTAGATGAGAGAAATATTTAGCCTAAAAACTGAATTAACAAGTATCCAATTACCTGGCATTGTGGAAATAAAACATCTGGATTGTTGAATTTTTTGCATTTCAAGTGAATCTATATGTATTTACTCAAAGCCTTGGGTGCACAAGAGTAGGGAACACACTGAATGTTTTAATAATGATCATTTTCCTGCTAGTTTATTAAATATATTAGAAAGTTACTATAACTATGTATGCATTATTTAGATACGTCACCACAGTTCATATAGGTACATAGGTATTGTCTCATTTGTATAGAATTGATACACATGATAAATAAACATCTACTAAAGGGACAAACTTTTTTATTGTAATCAATGTGCCATACACCACATTAGGTCCCTTAGAGTCATATCTAATTTAATGTTTATAAATATTCCGTGAGGTAGGCATTCGAGTCTTAATTTTACATTCAAGACAGTCAAAACTCATAGAGGCAAGATAACTTGCCTAATTTCATACAGACCTCTTCATTTTGAAACTTATTACATTTGACTTCAAAATCTATTGTATCTCATTGTTCCCAGAGAATAAAATTGCCTGGAAAAATGTGATTTCTATGTAACTGAAAACTACATTTTTGATGCTGAGGTACTCAATGCTAACAAAACGTACATTATGCATTTCATTGCCCCAATACCAAAAACCATTCAGAACTATATATAAATATTTCTTGCTGTTTCAAATTCATGCAAATTCAAAAATAAGGGCAAAAATTAGTCCATTGAAACAAACCAATAAGACATAGATGGTATAATAAGTAGATAAGGATATTAAAAATGTTACTAAAATTTTATTCTATGTGTTTGAGAAGGAAGGGAAAGCAAAAACTTGTAAAGAGAGAGAGGGAAAATATAAAAAGACATATATTGAATTTTTACAGAGTGAAAAACAATGTCTATGATAGAAAATAAACTTTGTAGGATTAACAGCAGATCAAATTCTGTAGAAGCAAAGATTAGTGAACTTAAAAATATAGTAATAGAAACTATCCAAAATGAAATACAGAGAGAAAAAGACTGAAAGAAAATGAAGAGTCAGTGCACTGTGGGTTAATAATGTTCAGTGGCCTAATATATCTGTTTTAGACCCCTGAAGGACAGGAAAGAAAGGAACAAATGAAAAAAATATTTGAAGAAATAATGGCTTCAAATTTTTCAAATGTGATGAAACCTAAAAACCCTTATAACTAAGAAGCTCAACAAATCTCAGGCAGAAGAAACATGAAGAAAATTCCACCAAGATAAAAAACTAGAAGCTTTCCTGCTAAACCTGGAACAAGGAAAGAATGTCTTCCTTCATCACTTTTTTCAGCATTGTACTAGATGTCCTGGCTAATGCAATAAGACAAGAAAAGGAAATAAAGTTGTTAGGTAGGAAGAAATAAAACGCATTGTGTGAGAATGACATGATGGCCTATGTAGAAATCCAAAATAACCAACAAAAAAACTCCTTCAAATAATAAGTGATTGTAGCAAAGTTGTAGGATACAAGGTTAATATATAAAAGTCAATTGCTTTCCTATATACCAGCAATGAACAAGTGGAATTTGAAATTAAAAACACAACACCATTTACATTAATGCCTCCCAAAATGAAATACTTAGGTAAAAATCTAACAAAATTTTACAAGACCTGGGCCAGCCCAGTGGCGCAAGCAATTAAGTGCGCGCATTCCACTGCAACAGCCCAGGGTTCGCCAGTTTGGATCCCAGGCACGCACCAACACACCGCTTGTTAAGCCATGCTGTGGCGGCGTCCCATATAAAGTAGAGGAAGACGAGCACGGATGTTAGCCCAGGGCCAGTCTTCCTCAGCAAAAAAAAAAAAAAAAAGAGGAGGATTGGCATCAGATATTAGCTCAGGGCTGGTCTTCCTCACAAAAAATAAAAAAATAAAAAGAAAGTCTCAAACATTTAAAAAAAATTTTTTTACAAGACCTGTATGAGCAAAACTACAAAAGTCTGATTAAAGAAATAAAAGAACTTAAATAAATGGAGAGATATTTCATGTTCATGGATAAGATTCAATATTTTCAAGATGTCACTTCTTCCCAAATTGAACTATAGATCCAATGCAATCCCAATCAAAATCTTAACAAGTTAATTTATGGGTATTGACAAAATGATTCTAAAGTTTATATTTGGAGAAGCAAGAGGCCCAGAAGAGCCAACACAATATTGAAGAAGAACAACAAAATCAGAGAACCATCCTACCCAACTTCAAGACTGACTATAAAACTATACTAATCAAGACAGTATGGTATTGGCGAAAGAGTAGACAAGTGGATCAATGGAACAGAGCCCAGAAATAGACTCACATAAATATAGCCAACTGATCTTTTACAAAGGAGCAAAGCAACACAATGGAGTAAAGATAATCTTTCAATAAATGATGCTAGAACAACTGGACGTTGACATGCAAAAAAAAATGAATGTAGATACAGATATTACACCCTACACAAAAATTAACCCAAAATGGGTCATCAACCTAGATGTAAAACACAAAACAATAAAGATAGATAACATAGATAGGAGATAACATAGGAGAAAACCTAGATGACCTTGGATATTGTGATAACTTTTTAGATACAACACCAAAGGCACAATCCAAGAAAGAAAGAACTGATAAGCTTGACTTAATGAGCTAATCAAAATTAAATACTGCTCTTCAAAAGTCACTGTCAAGAGGATGAGAAGAGAAGCCACAAACTGGGAGAAAATACTTGCAAAAGACATAGCTGAAAAATGACTGTTATCCAAAATATACAAAGAACTCTTAAAACTCAACAATAAGAAAACAAATAATCCAATCAAAAAATGGGCAAAAGATCTACAGACACTTCACTAAAGAACATATACAGATGGCAAATATGCATATGAAAAGATGCTCAACATTATACGTCATTAGGGAATTACAAATTAAAACAACAA